ATTTGTTTTTTTGTTTATTTTTCATCCCTTAAAAAATCTCTGTGAAACCCAAAAAAAAAAACACTCGTTCCATTTTTTGTTTTTGTTTTTTTCATTGTGTTTATGTTTTTGTTTTTTTTTTAAATATAGTCAAACATCAAAAAATAAAACTAAGAATACGGGGTTGTAGTCCTCGAAGAGACCTACAACCCCATATTTTGTTTTTGGTTTTCGGATAACTTTTAGCCCAGGACAAAAATCATCCCGGACCCCGTTAATTTGCGTCAAACTCGCGTTTGAATGGGAGGTTAACGGGAATTCAGCGCGCGTTGAATTTTTCAACGCGGAACCCGCGTTGAATTCAAAATCGAACACACTGTCGACGGGGGTTCGGTTGCAGCGGTGCGCTCGGGGAGAGTCAGCGAGGGTTGTCTCGACAGGGCGGTCGGCATGGTGAGGGCACAGCGCCGCCAGCATGAGCCTGCCCCAGACCATATGCAAGACACATTCAGGGCCCGCTCCCCTGTGTATTGGTACTGAGGGGTGTGCGAGGGAATTGGGGGAGGGGGGACCCTGCGACGGGCAGCGCTTGACGGGGGTTGGGTTGCAGCGGTCCGCTCGGGGAGAGTCAGCGAGGGTTGTCTCGACAGGGCGGTCGGCATGGGGAGGGCACAGCGCCGCCAGCATGAGCTTGCCCCAGATCATGTGCAGGACACATTCAGGGCCCGCTCCCTTGTGTATTGATACCTGGTTGTCGGCCAGACGGTCGACAACAAGGGGTTCATGATGCTCCGTTGCACGCTTTGCAACAAAATTTCCAAGGGACCCTGTTTCAGGCCACAAGGCACTTCACACAAAAGAACTACTGCAAGGACGTCAGCGACGAGGCGTTGTACGAGATCGCTTGACGGATTCAACAGAAGTTCGAGGTCGATCAGATGGAGAGGGTTGCCAGGTATACAGCGGAGCGCGGACTCGATGTGCCCAACACGGGTGGTGCAAGGGGAGGAGAGGCGGGGCGGCGTCCGGTGGAGGGAGGGGTCGGGGGAGATGGTGGGCATGGTGCGCCAGACCACCCGTTGGGGGGTGGAGGCGGTGACACGGAGGAGGGCGTGATCCACGTCAATCGCGAGGCGCGTTGCCCGGGCGAGGAGGGAGTCCCGGCACACGAGGACGTGCCAAAATTTTATCCAGGCACTGGGGAGAGGATGGAGGACTGGAGGAGCCGAGCAGGCAAGGGACCTGCAACGGAGGTGCCTTCCAAGAGGAAGGAAGGAGGAAGTGATTTGGTTGACACCCCAGCAGGAAAGAGGCTTTGGCAGCAGAAGGTGACTGAGGTCTACGGTGGCGAGTGAGTCGCTAGCCACAAGAAGGCCTTCCTTCGCTGGCTCTATCCAACGGGGTCTCCTTTAATGCCTTCCGCAACAAGGCTTGGAAGGCATATCAACAGGTGCTTCTTAAGCAGCCTAGCAGTTCCCCGCGCGTTGTGCTCCCCAACCACAGCGAGGTTGCGAGTATGAGGGCGGTGGAGACACACTGTGTGGAGCTGGCGGAGGAGTTGGAGGAGGTGAGGCAGCCATTCTGGGTGACTGGTGCCGCCCTCCTCTCCGATGGGAGGAAATCACGAGACGGGAGACTGATCGTGAATTTCCTTGTCGTTGGCTCGCGAGGGGTCGTCGTGTACATGACGATCAATCGAGGAGCGAGCCGGACGATGCAGTGCACGTCCTTCGGAGATGGGTTACCATCTTCCACAAGTTCAGCTTCGGTGGCCCACAGCGGGTCAATGCGATATGCACTGACTCCACTTCTGCGTACGTGGGGGCTGCAAGGGCATTGGCCTCGCCGACCATGCCTCCTACACGGAAGAGGATTACTTGGCTCCCATGCTCCATCCATGTTTGCAACAAATTGATGTCCGACATGGGGACGAGTTGCGACGCGTTTGTGGACGCGATCACACGCGCTCGTGTGCTGGTTGTTTTTTTCGAAACCCACCAGGCCGCCTTTCATTTTTTTAGGACGCGCAGCCCCAACAAGGGGCTTATTCTTTCTTGCGAGACGCGATTCGCGTCTGTTTATTCCATGCTAGAGAGGCTGTTGGCCCTGCAGGACACTTTGCAGGACATGATGCGAGGGGTTG